GACCTCCAAATCAAAGGCTGATTGAAAATCACTAGCCTAGCTCACCGATGTTTTAATTTGAATGGATAGTGTTTGACCTTGGGTGAAGCATGGCCTGCCCTGTTGTGATGATAGTGGGAAAAAATGCTTATGTGGTGCACTAGGGAGCGACTTATGAACTCACATCAACTCTTTTCTATGAAAAAAAACCTTCAGAATGAGCTCAAATGGATGTGCTTCTCCAGGGGCCCCAGGCCTAGAGCCCCCTTCAAGCCTCACTCCTCCATGTTCCCTGTAAGCATTCCCAGCACACAGGAGTGGACAACACTCCAAGTGTGGACACTGACAGCTCCATGGTGCTTTCTATGCTCCCCTTCAGCAAGGAGGGTGCAAGGGTTGGAATATGGCCAGAGATGGTGCAGTTGGGACTGTTCCGGATTCGTAACAAAGCTTCTGTGGTGTAAGCTCCAGACCTGGGGACTTGGGGTATCTTGCCAACTCAGATCCCTGGCCTGATATTTTGAGTACTGATAGATTTAACTGTTACCCTGCTTATCAAAATAAGGAACAACAAAGGGAAATGTTGCATCTTTAACTGTTCTTAAGGTTGCATCTTAGCAATTTTAGTCCTCTGACGATCTGCCTGTTTACCTGCCTTGCCCTCCTCCCAAAGGCATTCAGCAGGACTGAGACTGGCATCTGACCTCTGCTTCTGTCCATCCCTTTTAAGCTGCTGTGCTGACAAGGGAAGATAAGCTTGCTGAGCCCCTTAAGGCTTATGTCTCTGTGTGGACGGCAAAGAAGGGTTGTGAGTCCCAAGGAGTCCAGGGAAGTTGTTCTGTTCTTATGCTTTGAATGATGCTGCATGCAGCCACCTCTCAACCAGATGAGGTTTTGGAATCATGATAACAAGTTTTCCTTTTTTTTTTTTTTTTTCCATGGCTCATTCTGCTTTATTATTAAATGGCAAGCTTCAGATATAGCTGCATGATTCCTTACTGCCTTCATAAATGTGTTTTTAACCTGCTTTTAAGAGGCTACATGAGCCATAAAGAGCACAAGTTGTATTCCCTCACAGTGCATTTTGAAATACTTGCATGCCAAGAGTTTGGTTTTGGATATACTTGTACAGCATGCTCTAATGCCCATCTGCAGCACTGCAAGACTGTGATTAACATGGCTTTGCTTTCCTCAGGTACTTTTTGCCAATAAATCAATTCCTGAAACAAAATCATACTTGTTTTGCAGACGTTATTTAGCTTTTGAATGTTCTGAAATACATACTGCTTAGCTGTATATGTGTATGAATACAGCTAGAATGACAAATCTACAAACAGTGAAGAAATCTGCAGAAAGATTATTGCTGTTTTCTATACAGGTTTGCAAATGCTTTTTGCTGGCTAAGCAACACACTCTGAGGAGGAACCTATTGGACTCAGCTGTCAAAACCACAGGGATGGACTCAGAATTGGGACTGGAAACTACTTCAGCAGTCTGAGACCATTCTGGGTAAAGCTGGGGTCTGTTGCTAGGGTCTGTTTAATATTAAAGCTTGTGGCTGTAAAATAAGTACCTGCTGACATGCTTTGCCACCTACCCCTGTCAAAATTTGGGCTCTGTTTGCCTAAAGTTGCTTTAGGGTGGGTTGGTTTCAAAAGGATATTCTTCAGCTGTTGCAGCCTTTAAAATTCAAGGAGGTATTTGAGGAACTAAGCAGTCTTGGCTCCATTCTTACTGTGTTTCTTGAAGCCGTATTGTACAGCAGTGTTTTTAACTTTCATGCACTGACATACTGTTTTCCTCAAATACTTTGAAAGCAACTTCGTTATTGAAGCTATGACTTGGTTGCTCAGAGCTCAGGAGTTGACACAAAGGTGTGGCTTTAGTAACTGAGGCAGCTTGGACTGTATCTTGGAAAAGCTGGATCTTGTTGACTCACTGTTTCTGCCTTGTCTGAGGTTCCAGCTGAGCTTTCCTGCCTCATTTTTCTCCATATGAGGACATCCACTATTATTTACCTTTTCTGGGCCTGCATTCTTCTGCTGCCTGTGAAAAAAATTGCTTATTCAACACCAAGATCAACTATTATCAAATTGCCTAATATAATCATACTGTATGCCCAGGCTGGATGTGGCTCTGGGCAGCCTGGTCTGGTGGTTGGTGACCCTGCAGTAGCAGGGGGTTGAAGCTAGATGATCGTTGTGGTCCTTTTCAATCCAGGCCATTCTATGATTGTCCATCACTAAAAAACAATTTAGACTTCCCTCCCATCTCATTAACTTTGTTTTTTTCTTTCTTCTGCTAAGGTTTGGGGTTACAAAAGATCGGGATCTTACTTCTAAAATGCCACTTCCTTCTTTGGTGCTTGCTATTTATCTCAGATAAGTGAGATCAGAATTAAATAAAGGCCCTTTCTAAGGGCTAAGCTGTAAGTGACAGAAATGAAACAAACACAGAACCATAAGCTGTTCTCAGAGAGTCCTCTGATAGGCACAAACACTCACCTGAGTGTGCAAATGCTTCAGTCAGAGGTTAAGCTGGAAACACAGCACACCTGAAAGAGGCATTCACAAGAACAATAGGACTAAAATACACTGAGATCCATCTGTGCTCTTTTAAGGTCCTTTCTATCAGTCCTAGACAGCTTCTGGTGCTTCCATCAAAGCTCATCCATCCTACATCATCATTCATTTCCTTCTTATTAGCTCATCCTGGACTCCTCTTCATCCATTGCTCCTTGGCTCTCTGTCCCACCAGGGACGTGACTAGCTAATATGCTGGAGACAGAACTAGCAGTAAATACTAATGGAAAAAAATCATTTTGGTCTGAACTTTTTTTTCCTTGCCAGTTCTGTTTGAGAAAGCAACGAGGAATCTTCTGTTTTCTGACAGTTTCAATTGAGAGCTCTTAAGAAACTTGTTCTAGATAAAGAAATAAAAGAAACAGAGGACTATGAAGGCATGTCCTCTTCCTAACAGAGAGGTTTGGTTGAACTGCAGACCCATGGAAGGGGAAATCTAGTTCTGTAATAAATAGAGAGAGGTCCCCATGATGTCAAAGATGTACAGATAGGAAAGAAGGCAGATGATGGTGCTTTCAGGCAGTATCGATCAGGGGAACTTGAGAGTGTCTGTAATCACTGGAATTTAATGCAGTGCTCCCGAGGCTCTTCATCAAGATTTATTTCCTTTATTACCTAGAAATGTCAGGTCTTTTCCCATGTGCATTCATTTTGGTTTCGGGGAAAGTCAGGATTTCCTAAGTCATCCTGTGACCAGCATAGCATTCATGTCAAAGCCCTGGGCAAGTCCCCAAAGGAAGGACTGAGTCAGACACGATGAACAGCTCTCTACACCTCTGAAGCAGTTTCTGTGTTGCAGAGAACAAGGCATCCCCAGTGCGTGTTCTCAAGGACTTCAACAAAATGAATTCACAGGCAGAGATGCAGTGTCACAGCATTGCACAATGCCTACTAAATATGGAGGAGTGCAACAGAATGTCGGGGAGTGGTGGCTGTGCAGCTGCATGTTGCTTCTTGAAGCCTGCAACGAAAAGGCAGACTGAAGGAACAGGGGAATGTTTTGCCAGACTTAAACAGCATATGGCTTGCAGGCTGTGCTTGGCCAATGTAGCAGTTTGTTTGGCCTGCCAGATGGCCGGGAGACGCCATGCTGCTTGCATGGCTGGGTGCCTTCCACCAGCTGGGCAGCCAGCACAGGCATGGCACCTCCCAGCCAGCCGGCATGTCCTCACCCTGCAGCTGCCCAAAACCTGGGTGTCACAGGCAGCAAGAGACACAGGGAGGGCAGGTGGGTGGGAACCTTGCAGGTGGATGGGGAGAACGGGAGACCGGAGGTAGGAATAGAGACAGTTCTGGGAAGGGTGTGACAAAACAGTCGTTTGAACTTGCTGAGCCTACCTACCTCTCTGCTGTAGTGAGGCATTCTAGGCCAAAATCCCATTGTGTGAGTGAAATAGGGCTGAGTCACCAGATTCATTCCTCTGCTGTTTCATGCATCACATCATGTAACACATAACAAGGGCTGGTTGGTTTGGTTTTGTTTCCAGTGTTCCCACAGAAAGGCTCTTCCAGGTCCTCCCTTTCCAATAGGTAGACTTGTAATTCTCTGCTGTTTATTTATGGCTTATTTGCCCTTACACTTAAATCTTCTTTGTGATGATACCTCGACAGACAACTGTCCTATTTGCTCCATTGTCACTTTGCAGGCTCCGCAGTCAGAGCCAATGCAGTTGAGCCCTTCTAGGAAAGCTGAGTCGCACTCACTTTAAAATAGGCATCTTTCAAATGAGACTTGAGGGAAAAAGAAATAATAAAACTATATCTTTCTACTCTCCTTGGTTTTCCTGGCCTTTTTCATGCAGAGCTTTTAGCTGCTGTTGCTCCTTCCTGGCCTCTGTGGTAGCAAAGCATGGTCTCCGTGGGGAAGGACAGGAGCTGTCAAGCCCACAGATGCAAGTGCTTGGAGCTGGGCCTGTGCTTGACTGTTTTTCTGGATTGAGATTGGAGCTCTCACCACTTGAAAAGATCCAGGTTGCGGTTTGTGTAGTGCTGCCAGTTCCTCTGGAGTTAAGGAGTTTTATATAAAACATCAATTTTTACAAAGGAAAAGGAAAAAACATCAGGTGTGTGCATGTGTGTGTGCAGTACATTAACTAAAAGCTGCTTGGGAAACAGCAAAAATTCTCTGCCGTGGTGTGACTTCATTGCAGCCATTCCTTTGTGCCATTTGAGAGACAGTCCTCATCCCCAAACACACAACTGTCAATGGATAAAGCAGTGACGGAAAGTGTTGGAGGAGGGAGGGAGGATACAGAGCGGACTTGACCTGAAGAAGCAGAGCTAGGAGCAGCCTCTGTCCCTCAGTGTTGTGAGCATCCACTTTGCTCTCAGACTTCGGGGGAGGGGACAGATAGAAATATATGAACTGTTACAGAGGAACTTCAATGAAACGCTCGTGTTTGTGTTTTTTTTTAATTGGCCTCTATCGCCTCATTTCAGCTGGACGCGGAGTTCTGTTCGTACCAATCCATGGGGACACGGGCTGACTTCTCGCAGCGGCGGTGGGACCGCGCGTGGTGCGGAGCGCAGGTACGTGATGGCGGGGAGCGGGGGGCGGGGCGGAGCACAGCCCGGGGGCGGCGGGGGGGCGGAGCGGGGACGGCCAGCCCTGCTGCGTGCGTCCCGGGCCGCGGGGCCGGCCTAGCGCGGGGAGGGCGGGGCAGGGCGGGGCGGGCCCGGCCTGGCCCAGCCCGCCGGGAGGAAAGGGAAGGGGGAACGGGCAGGGGAGCGAGCCGCGCCGTCGCCCTTCGGAGAGAGCGCGGGGTGTGTGAGGCCGCGCGAAGGGCCGCCGCTCGCCGTCCCCCGCCGCTGGGGCTGCCCCGGGCCCCCGCCCTCCGCCATCTTCCGCCCCGCAGGCGCGGCCGGGGCCGGGCCGAGGCGAGGCGGCGCGGGCCCGGGCCCGGGCCCGGAGATGAGGCCAGGATGTCGGTGTCAGGGCTCAAGGCCGAGCTGAAGTTCCTCGAGTCCATCTTCGACAAGGACCACGAGCGCTTCCGCATCGTCTCCTGGAAGCTGGACGAGCTGCACTGCCAGTTCGTGCTCCTGCCGCCGCCGCCGGGCTCCGGCCCTCCGCCGCCGCCGCCGCTCACCATCCACTGCAACATCACGGTGCGGGCCGGGGGCTCGGCGCCGTCCCGGGGGGCGCGGGATGACCGGGGGTCGGGTGGGGGGTTCCGGCCTCCGCCGCCTCGGGGCCGCTCGGGCTGCGCGCTGCCCGGGCCCGCAAACAAAAGTTCGGGAGCGGGCGGTCCGCCTCGGGCCGGAACAAAGGGCGCGGGGGAGCCGGCCGGCCGGGGCCGTGCCGGGTGCGCCGGTCGCTGCCGGGCCGGGCGGCGGCCGCGGGTCTTCGTTGCCGCGTGTTGGGGGCTAGCGGCGCGGCGGCCGTCCCCTGTCGGGGCTCCTCGCTGCGCTGACGGCGTTTAAAGTTGTGCCGGCAGCGCTGTCAGACGTGAGGGGCTCTGTCGTTCTCTCCTTTTTCTTCGGTGTTTGTTTTTAACGAGCAGGAGGGATGCAAGATAAAACGTTCTGTGCGCTAAGTCTTTAAAAGTTCACGGATAGGGCCTAAATCTGCCGAAGGGTTTGCGTGGATCGGTGTCCAACTCGTGCACAAGTGCTGAAGGTCTCCGTGTCGCAGCTGTGAGCGGACCTAAACGCCCTATCAGCGTTCAGCTTAGGAGCAAAACACTGAAAAGTTTTGGCTGGGTGAGCATGCAGTCGCGCTGTGTGTTTGAGGGAGGTGAGCTCCACAGCTCTTCTGTCCTTTGCCTATAAAAGTATGCAATTTCCAAGCAGTGTGGGGTGGAAACTTGTGCGCAAGTCCAAATATCTGAGTGCTCAAAAGATAGAAACGTGTGTGCAGACCAGGCGGGGCTGGCTGTCTTGGCAGGATGTTCGCTTGTCTTGAAGTTACTTTATTAAATAGAAAGAGACGTGTTAAGAGAGTTATAGTTTCACAGCTGACAGCCTGGGAAGTCAGTTCTGTGATCTGCCTGCTTTACCCCATACGCTTGCAAAGCCTGAGATGTCATTTAATAGTAAAGTCAGCCAAATACATCAATGTTCTTGTGTTTAGATACAGTGCATCAGACAAGTGATTGTGCAGCTTTTCTCAAGTATTATTTATGTAATAGAAAGTGTTTCGCTGGGGAGCAGCCTGTCTGTTTTCTCCCCACAGCATGATCACAACTCTCCTAACTCTCTTCCTTAAGAACTAAGGGGAAGGTCTGATAACTGTGTCCTCAGCTGGCAGCCGAGTTCAGTGCGTTATTCCTTGTCAGGTGACAGCTGACAGGGAAGCCTAGGAGGGAGGCCTGAAGAGCTTGGTGCTTTGGATTTGTGCTGTGGTGCATTTCTGCTTCTGACGCTTCTCTGCCCGAAGTATTTTCAGAGGCAGTTTTCTTGCTCCATATAGAACTCTGCCCTCTTGCTTACAGCCTTGGTTTGAGGTGTGCCCCAGCCATACAGCGAGATACAGGCTGAGGTCACTCCTGGCCTTGTCGTGTCTTATTGAGGAAATTGCAACTGCAGTTGGCTACTGCAGTCACTTGCCCTAGAAATCAGGAGACTTTGTGTGTGCTGTCAGAACTGTGATATCTGCTTCCAAAAAAGATCAGGAAAAGATTTTTTCAAACTACAGACGCAAGACTTCTGCTTTAAAAAGAAGTTGTTCGTGAACTTCTTGAAACTTGTGTTTCACAGTTGCCTGCAAGCAGCTTGGTTGTTCCAGTGTTGATTAATTTTTGGCACTTTGAGGTGGGTGGCTATTTACTTACCTGCTAAAAATAAGTGGGAGAGGGCAGCTTCGGATGCAGGGGGTGGCTCACAAGAGGCAAGTGAGAAGCTCCTGGGAGAGTCAAAAAGAATGATAACTGCTGGACTTGTGTCCTGGGCTTTGGACTGAGGTGTTAGAGCTCACTATGAAGTTTTTCCTTCCTCCTCCTCCCCCAGCCAATGAATCTGTTGGCCCAGGTTCCTGCTTGCCTCCGGTTTATTTCTGTAGGTACTGTAAACTGGAAAGGTGTAGCTCTAGTTTGCTGTGCTTCAACTGATCTGCAGAGCTTCTGGAGAGCTGAATCAAGTTACCATGGGAGCTATAACTTGAAATTATGGTGCTAAAAAAAGCTGGTAAGGCTATAAAGATACTGGTGAATGTTTTCTTTGGGGAGGGCACTCACCCTCTGCAGTAGATGCTGCTACCTTAACAGTTTACTTTTGCAGTGCACATAGGTAACTTTGGTTGTTTGTTGCTTCCTAGAAGTTTAACCTCTACAATAATGGTGAAATTCTTGAGGCTATTTCTTGTACTCACCAAGAGCTTACATGGGTTGGAGCATCCGGGCAGTTAGGGATGCTGTTAAGGGGGAGAGAAGTGCAAGACTCAATAATTACCTTTTTTTGGTTGGTTTTATTCAGGCACCTCAGTATTTCAGCTGAAGTGAAAGCTGTCTAGCAGTGTGTACAGGCACTGAAGTTGGTGGATAGAGAATAATCTGGTAGGGAAGGGAGCTTCCAGCAGCTTCTGCACCGTGGCTGAAAAGAGACTTGGTTACTCAGTTGCTCCAGTTCTCACAACGGATCCCTTTATTTTCTTGGATCTAGAGAGAGAAGGCAGAGGACAGAGCAAACAGTCTCCTGGAGAGGTGAGGGAGAATCTGCTTAGGAACTGCATAGATCTCCTCCACCAGTGCCCTAGACTGAATTCCACAGCTCAACTAGGAATCAGCCCTGGAATTTCTAAGATGATATCCTGAGTGTCTGCAGTATGAGTTTGTGGAACTGCCACGGTTGCATTTGCTGCAGCGCCCTGGGACTGCTCTACCTGTGCTACTGAGCAGTGCTTGACTGCGTAGGGAGATGTGTTTTGCTTGATAGCTCTGCTACTTAATGAAGTGACAAACAAACATTTTCTAAATCTGCCTCCTTTCTGTTTGCTACCTGTGTTGGAATTTAAATGGTTAATTTGATGATTTTAAGAGACACTGTAGGGTGGAGTCATCTGTCAGAAACATTGCTTCTTGTGCCTCAGAACTGTCTGATTATTGAACTTGTTCAGGCTGTGCACCTTCACATTCCCTTTCTGTTGTGCCAGCAGTGGTGTCTCTGTTCTGGAGTCTGATTTCTGGTTGTGTTTTTTCCTTTTTTTTTCTTCTTCCTTTTCAGGTTCTTTTCACATAGCAGTAGTATCCCATTTGAATTCAATAAGCTAGTGTCCTTGCCAAGACTATATATTGTATTTTATGAGGTAGTATCAAATCAGTGCCTTACAGTAGTGTGTTACTTACTGATCATTTAGGTAAGTGTTTTTACAATTTGCAGTCTGTTTGGTACCTTATGAAACTTAAGTCACAGTATTCCAAGGTGTGGTACAGTTCAATCTTTAGCTTTTTCTCCCCCCTTCTCAATAGCAAGGCTGCTTTGGACTCTAAAAAACAAAGGAGCACATTTTTGGTTTTTTTCCCCCGGAAAAAGAATACCGTTTTTAATATATATATATATTTATATTAATTAATTAATATTTAATATTAGTTAATAATATTTAATAATAGTTAATAATTAATTAACTATTGTTGAGGTTCACAGCATGTATTTAAAGTATCATTCCAGTTGCACACAAAACTTCCACTGGAATTCTGAGTCCTTAAAGTACCTCTTGTAGGTAGGAATAGGGTTTGTGCCAGCTCTCTGTGGGAGTGGATTTTGCACCCAAACAGATCCAGGGCTGTGACATGTAATGATATCCTTCACACATCAGCAGTTTCAGTCCATGTGAGCAGGCTGACTCTGCTATACACTTGCTTCCCTGCTGGAGAGAAAAATCTCCTGCTTTAATGAAAAATACCCTGCTGCAAAATCAGAGTTGGAAGATACTTGGAAAGGTTCCTGCGTATAGATAACTGCAATTGAGGGGAGGAAACTTCATTTTCCCTTCTAATCGAGAATGGATGAAAAGATGTCACCTTTGAAGCTTTTGGCAAGTTATGTACTGAAAGTGAGTATACTAGAACATCGTATAATTCTTAAAAGGCACGAGGTTTCAATATTAAACACACTCCTAGCTAATGCCTGGGCAGCTGACAGACTTTTAAGGAGGTTATTTATTTGTATGCAGAACTAACCGCATAATGAACGAGGCTTCCAATTCAAACCACAGCTATGTTTTTAAACGTGACTAGGCACTCCATAGCAGGGCTGAAACCTTTGTCTTGCAGCGTGTGGTTACAAGGACTAAATAAAAGCATACACAACTCTACCTGGATAACACATATTTCTCTAACTAGAATTAATTAGGTATACTTTGAGTTCTAAGGAAGGCACTCCAGTAACTTAGGAAAGATAATGCTTGTACACTAGAAATTGTCCGGTCTTATTTATCAAAACAACATGCAAAGACTGAGTGTTCTTCTCTTTCTATACCAAGGCTGTAATTGGAAAAGAAATACTGTGAGGAGGAGGAATGGTTTATCTCTAGAAGACGTAGGACTTAACTCTCTGATGCTACAGCTTAG